ACAAGAAAGACATCAGAATATTTGAATTCATTTGATGCTTCTAACTGAAGTTATTCAGACGTATTTTCATTTAAATTGAGTTTCCTTTTGATACCAAACTCTAGTGAAATGTCAACTGTCTCGGCAACTACTTTTGCTTCATTCAAAAGTTTTTAATTAGTATCGTCTTTACGGTGAGGAATAACCTTTCTGTGATTAATAGAGGCCCAGATTTTGTGCCAAAATAATGACATCAATAGTCAAAAGGCATTTGAAAGATCTAAATTACTTCTTGATGCCCAGAACAGTATTTCTTGTTGATGGAGTAAATATGGGTACCTTCTTCCTTATCCTCCTGAAGCGGGTCTAAAGCTTTGAGGCTCGCTTCATAATCGGGCGCATAGCTTGCGGTCTCCAAGTTTCAGAAAGGGTTTGTAATTTTCAAAGACAAAGGAACATGTTGTTTTAACAATTTCCTACAACCAGGGCTTCTAGAGAACAAAGAATAAACACTCAACTTTTTCAAAAAATGTCAGAACATCATGATTCAGTTTACCAGCATTGACAACTCTGGGCTGGACTCGGACTCTCCATCCAACCCCACCCTTGTGGGGGCCATGGCCGTAACTATTTTGGGGTGTCTGTTGATTTGAACATTAAAATATAAAAGAGAGTAAATTCCTAGAATTTTTACGATAAAAACTAATTCGATAAACTAAATTATTAAATATATAACAAAACGCAGTGTTCTTTAAATTCGATTGTTAAAAACGCACATCTTTGTTTTACTGATTTTGAGTTAACTAACGAATCTTCAACAATACCCATATCCCACGTGATCTGACAAAACAAGAAATTTATTGACAATGACCATTCCGAGTGACTTTTATGACAACTAAAATATCGTTTCTGTCAAATAGGTAAATCTGGTTCCCAACAACTAAATTATACACACACCTTACTTGAGCCCAAAACGGGTAGGTTCCCATCCTGTTTTACTGGATCGAAACCCATCTGACCCCACCTACCCTCCTGACGTCTTCGCTACAGGGAACCTCAAGTTCAATCCATTTGATTAGTATGCCAGTTCTTCTCAAAGGACATATTATCATCATTTAGACAGGGTTTGCTGATGGCATTTCCCTGTTTCGTCGTTCGTTTCCCAGACAGCACAAAAATATTGCATGAATATTCAATGCATATCTCAACTGCATACTCCTATATTCCATGGATATGCCATATCCGCCATGGCATATGACAGGAAGATTGCAGGAATATTCAAGGTCACCATGAAACATATGCCCACAATATGTTTTTATCTGCCAAGATATATGTATGGCATATTCTCTGGATTTACTGAGGATATCTATGTATGCCTATATTCATGGTATTTTGAATATTCATGGCATATTCAATTTTTTTTTTTTGAAATGCCGTACGATAGTTTAGAAAATAAAACCCATACTTAAACACAAAATAAATTTTATTTTAAAAATAAAGCAAATTTTCAAAAAATAAAACTATACATACAAAAAACTAAAAATTTAAATTTATTTGCCGAGATTCTTCACGTACTTTTCTCCTAAAAAAATGATATATAAGATATGTATATGTATTATAAGATATTTATAAATTATTTACATTTTGATGCTTTTAATAATAAGTGTTAGAATTCAGATAAAAATATCAGTAAAATAGAAATATTTCAAAACCTTGAGACAAACATTACAGTAATACTTACTTCTATAGCATCTTTGAGTCACTTTATTTATAGGCCTCTACATTTTCCGTTGTCATTTGTGTACTGTGGATTTTCCTACAATCTCTAAAAAAACAAAAATAGGTTTACATGGTGCCTTGTCTGCAAATCAAAAGAGACTCGTCTACCAATTGATTTACACTTCTTGTAAAATATTTATGATTTTAAGCACCACACTGATACTACAGAAGGGCCATATATTATAAATAATCAGACTTACCCCTTAGGTGGGTATATCGTAAGAAAAAACAAAAACTACACACTACACGTTTCTATTCTAGTAAATCTGACAATGTTTGGTTATGTGTCATATTCTTCTTTTTTTTTTCATTAGTGGCCTTCACTGTTTAAAGTATTTGACCAGGGTATCATGAATAAAAAATATTCCTCACAATCGAACTTCCCGTATAACAAAGACTTACGTTCGACGATAGGCTAGATTATGAATGGAGCCAATAAGACACTATTAGGTAATTTTTACTACCAACTACCAATACGTACTAGGCGCATACTTTTGTCTGTTAGAATCATTCTTTTGTTCTTTTCTTGTCTACATTATAGGAAACTATACATACTTATTTTATCTATGAAGAGAAAGATAATTTGATCTCGGAGGCTTAATTTTTTTATTAATTGAAAATAAGTTTGCACAATAATGATTTAAAGTTACATTCCGAAGTTCTAAGTTCACGTTTTTTTTTTAATTTAAGTCTTTATAAGCTAAACAAGGATGATCCTGTTAACTATGTCTTCATTTGTACTTATAGATAATAAAACAAAATAGTTAAATATAACATAATATTCTACAGAGATATCTATACAATATGAAAAATGAATATGCAGAGCATATCAAAAATACATATGTCTGGAATATCCTTCAAGAATGTAGAATATGAAATATATTCAGTGAATATTCCATAAATATTGCAATATATTTTGGCAAATAGGCAGATTGGTGGCATATGCCAGGGATATAGTGTGCTGTCTGGGTTGTTTGTCTTATGTGTGCTAATTCTGTGAGAGTTCGCCACCTGTGAAAGCTCTCCTAGTCTCCATTGGCGACTAGGAGGACCTTCTCACCAATGTGGAGTGTCGTCAGTTGCTCAGTCCTTGTCTGATTCGCGTGTTGTATTATGTAAGAGAATGCTGAAAAATAATGGTGAAAGAGAAATCTTATATTCTATGCGCGTCTTGAATGTTTACACCTTCTGTGTTTCGGTCACTCGCCGCCATATTCGAGCACTTTGCGTGGCCTGGCGTGTCTCCTATAGTCTGCTCTCTCGTACTCTGTTAATTCTCGAAGTTCTGTATTTGGGTGAGTCCTTATTTTCTTAAAGGTGTCAGTGGCCTTTGTGTGTATAAGGTCTAGGACCCTTTTGGATTCTAGGTCCCTCATGATCATGTTATTTCTAGTATAGTATATCTATAGGCGTTTGAGGCCCATCTCAGGTTGATGTTCTCCTGACTTTGAATCTTCTTCCTGTTTGTTTCACAGGTGTATCCTCACGCCGTCGAGGCGTACATCAATACTGGAATTCTAAGGTTTGTTCCAATACGCCCGAAAACCGTACAAATTATGCGCTGTATACAATTTTTGGGTAGAGCGCATGATTTGTACAGTAATATTACGGTTTTCGCGCGTGTTGGAACAAACCTATTACTGCCTGAATGAGCCTCATTTTTGTCTTCAGTAGGAATTTGCTCCTACATCCTATTAAGCAGTTTAATCTTGCTCTTGCTTGTTTCGTCTTCTTTACTACCATGTCCACGTGCTTGGTGAAGGTGAGTTTTTGATCCATTATAACTCCGAGGCATTTGGCTGAGTCGGTCCATGGGATGTCCTGTCCATCCATTATTTCTTCTCCTGAAGGGTGATATCTCTTCTTAAACAGCACAGCTTGTGTCTTCTTCGCGACTAAATTATAGTGGCTGCATAAGGCAAATATACTCGTCTCTATGAAGCTTTGTTCAGAGTAGGAGAGTCGCGCGTTACGATGCGATAGCGTTTCGTCGAGTGACGCGTCGTCAGTAAAATAACCAAATGTTATCAAATGCAAACGTTCAGAGCCAGAGCCGCTGGTCGCACTCACTCTGAATGCGATGCTCTGAAATATCAAACACGTCGCTTGACGCATCGCGATGCGCGCCGCTTTTACTCTGAACAAGGCTTAAGGATTTTTTTGCAATAATGTTTAAAGTTTTGAAAGATATCATTTATTACAGTCAAACTTTATTATTTTATTTCTCACTTATTGCCTTTTTAATTGGCCACTTCTTGGTAGTAGGGTGACAATTTAGAAAACAATTTCTCTCCCTTCTATTTGTAAAACGATAGGTAGTGAATTATTCTAAAATATTAATGACTTTTGTTAAGTAGGTATGCCGTCAGAGCTTAAGGCGACATATTTCATACAGACGAGGACTAAATAAGTTCGAAACTATAGTAGGAGAATCAGTGGCGTAGTCAGCCATTTTTCATGTGAGGTGTTTTTGAGAACTATGGGGGGGGTCCATCAAGAAAGTGAATAAAAACAAACAGTCAATAGTGATCAGCGCCAATACTATAACTGAAATGGTGACGCTAGAACCCTCCATGGGGGGTTCTGGCCCCCAAAACCCCCCGTAGCTACGCCACTGAGGAGAATATATTTTTTGTTTTTACAATAAAATATCCAATTTTGCCATTTAATACAATGAAATATTCACAGATTTATATTTTGTTTAATTTTTTTGTTATATATTTTAATTAAATAACCATCTATTTTAGCAATAAAATGCCAACGGTTAACCGACCTTGTACCGCTTTTATGCGTAAGCGAGTTGTAACAAAAAGGCGTGGTCGAATTGGATCGGTTTCAGAATACAATGAATTAGACGTGGCAACAGCGCTTCTTGTGACAGTATCTACTGACTCTACTTCAACTGTTTACAGCCAACCTCAACTCAACCAAACTAAACTGTCACTTACAGACGGTGAGGAGATCGGTAACATACACACTAGAGAAATAAAAACCGGTCCTAAGTAAAAGAGAAAAACCATATCGTGGCGTAAACTGCACTATTTGTCATTCGAGCGCATATCGGATTCATTTTTTCCATTTTATAGCGACGATAGATGTGATTTCCTTTGTGATCGACACTTGTTTTTTTCTGTGTGAGTGCGGTTTTTTGTTGTTTCTCGGTCGTGTCATTCTATAGCCATGGCTGACGCTGAAACGAAAGATCGGTTTGATCCAGAACTTAAATTTCTTTACGTGGACAGGAACAACTACAACGATCCGGCCACTCAAGCAGAATGGACGCAGAAAAGGTTAGTTTGGGTGCCACACGAGAACCAGGGCTTCGTCGCCGCCAGCATCAAGGGCGAAAAGGGCGACGAAGTCGAGGTGGAGCTCCAGGAGACCGGCAAGAGGACAACCGTGCCCAAGGACGACATCCAAAAGATGAATCCGCCGAAATTCGACAAGGTCGAGGACATGGCCGAACTCACCTGTCTGAACGAGGCCTGCGTCCTACACAACCTCAAAGACAGATACTATTCCGGTCTAATATACGTGAGTCTTCATTTCATTTAATATCTACTAGATAATTTAGCGAAAACACAAAAATAATCGACTGGTTTCCTTTTGTTTTTTTCATTGTTTACTATGATATCTTTCTTCCCAATAGATTGGGGAGTGTATATTCGTCCGAGCGGTCGGACCAATTAGAAAAATAATTATGCATTCCCAACAGATAATGCTTCATACTAACCACACGAGGTTTCTAAAAGAACATTAAAACCTTATAGATTTGGTAAAACAAAAATTTTTAAGAAAATATACAGGATATCTCATTTTAATGAGTCACATAACAACTGAAGATTTTCTGATTAAAAATAGAGGATATTAAACCAAACATGCTTATATAAAATATTACTGGTTTCCGAAATACAGGGGTGTTAAAGTTAAAAATTCAAAAATTATTAATGGCTATTATTTTTTTTATTTCTCAGTATAATTTCAATAAATTCAGTAAATAAACTATACCAGTGGCGTACAGCATGGATAAGTAACACCTTCATCCCTCTAAATTTTATGCCACTGTCCAAATACATATTTGGACTATATTTTTACATTTTTTGATGTTTTTTTAAATTAATCATGTGACTTCTGTTGGACACTCATAAAGTGATTCGTTTTCGATATATTCACACTCATAGGTGGATTTACTTCATTTTAATTTTGTAATTTTGAATTTTTTTATAAATTCACAACAAGAGTAGATAATTTATTAAAAAAAAATTAAATTGTAGTCCAAATAAGAAGTTTTTGGAGAGTGGCGTAAAATTTAGAAGATATGAAGGTGTTATTTACATGTCGTACGCCACTGGAAAAGTTTATTTAACTGATTTTTTGCTGATAGGTGTTTCTTATGACACTAAAAACGATTGCTCAGTATAATTTTATAAAAAAATCCAAAATTACAATATTAAAAACAAAATAAATGGAGAATGTCCACCTTAGAGTGTGAACAGTTGGATATATTTAACTGCAGTGTTAAAAACATAAAAACACATTGTTTAAAATAATTTAGAATTTATTTACTGTAATTTCAGTTTGATTATTATCTATATGCTTTTTGTTAAACAAATTTACTCCTGTTCTGTAATTGGGTTTAACCTGTTCAACAATGTATAAATAAATAAATAAATATCTTGAAAACCAATTACTTTATTAGTTCCCATTAAGAGTACATGATTTATTTAAAAAACATCAAAAAATGTAAAAATATACCTAGTCCAAATAAGTTTTTGGACAGTGGTGTTAAAGTTAAAGGAGATGAAGGTGTTACTTATCCATGCTGTACGCCACTGGCAAATTTTATTTAACTGATTGTTTCGCTGATAGGTGTATCTTATGACACCAAAATTGTCTACCGAATTTAGTAAAATTACACTGATAAATAAAAAAAAATTATAGCTATTAATAATTTTTGAATTTTCAACTTTATCACCCTGTATTTCGGAAACCAGTAATATTTTATCTATGTTTCGTTTAATTATCTTATTTTTAATCAGATAATCTTCAGTTTTCTGTGACCTATTCTTAATGAGACACCCTGTATAGGTTGTTTATTGATTAAGTGTTGATACTTAAGGGTGTGAATCCTTGGGTGATTTTAAGAAGAACAGTCAATATTAACATATTATGATAGATAGATAATTTTTGATGTAAAATAAAATAAATATTTCACATGTGTCAATGTTAATGGTATAAAAAAAAGATATATAGGTATAGATACAGAAAATACAGTTACAATTTAGAAAAATATAGACAAAAAAATAATATATAGACACACATATTCACCAAAAAGGTTTACACATTACTCACATGCACAGATGGACACATGTGATAAATATTCCTCAATGCAATAAAAGCAGTAACTCGACAAAAATTTTGGAATTCTTATTTTAAATAAATTAAAAGATGAGTTTTATAAGCTTGAGGTAGGGAATTGCAGTTTAATGCTGATATATCTATAAGAATCATGAAGTTTGGTTAATCTGTAATTAGGTAAAGATATATCATAATTTCCTCTGGTGCAATAAGAATGTTTAGAGCTCTGTCTTTTAACATTATTATTACCAATTTGTTTATTCATGTATAAAAGACACTCTAAAATAAAACAACATGGTAGTGATAAAATACCCAACTGTTTAAAAATAGCTTGGCAGTGACTATTGTAGCTACTCGATGTCATGATACTTGCTACTTTTTTTTTGTGCAGTAAATACCCTAAGTTGGTTGCTTGTATTTCCCCAAAGTATAACCCCATACGTCATAATGCTATGAAATACTGAAAAGTAGACCATTTTTAAATGTGCAATGTCTAATTGAAATTTTAGCTGTCTAATTGCATAAGTAGCTTTTGCTAAATGACTTAGTAAACTTTGAATGTGATATTTAAAATCTAGTTTCGGTTCTAAATATATTCCTAAAAGTTTAACTTGTTCCTGACTTTTAGCAATGATAGAAAATGACATTAGCTGAGTTTTTGCTTTGTTTAATGTAAGACCATTGCTACCAAACCAATTATTTGACATAAGTAACTTCTGCTTCATTTCTATTGTATTTTTTTTTAATCTGTAGCAATATATGTTGAGTCAGCATAATACACCTGTATGATATTACTTAGATTAATTGACAAATCATTAAAGTAAATGATAAAAAGTACGGGCCCGAGAACAGAACCCTGTGGAACTTCATACAAATTCTTGCTCGAAGTATGCCCATCAATTTGAACATATTGAGTTCTCTTTTGCAAATAAGAGGTAATATAAGCTGTAATGGTGTCCCTCTAACTCAATATCTCTCTAATTTTAATAATAAAATGGTATTGGTATAATTGAGATAGGTCTGTAAGCAGATGGTAGATTCATGTCCCCTTTTTTGGAAACAGGGGTAACTAGTAATACTTTAAATGTATCTGGAAAAACTCCACATTTCATGCACAAATTAATTAGGTTAGCAATGGAAGTGTTTAAAATATCAACAACTGATTTCAACAAAACTGCATTCAATCCATAAATATCCCTAGCTTTAGAATTTTTTAAATCTTTGATAATTTGATAGACTTCTGTTGTATCTGTGGGTTCAAAAATATTGATAAATTATTAAAAGGATTTTTTTTAATAAAGCTGTTAACATTAATAGACTGCTTGCAATTTTCAACTAACTCGTGAATTACACTTTGAAAGAAATCTTCAAAATCATTGACAGACACATTGGTTTTAGAAGATTTATTTCTTCCCAAGTTGGTATTAATTATTTGCCAAGCTGTTTTTTGTTTATCAGACTCAAATATTTTTTTATTGTTTAAAACTACCGTTTCCTTATTATCAATATTAGGGTATTCTTTTTTTAAAAACGATAATAATTCGAAGCTTTCCAGTGACTTTGTAGAATTGAATATTACTTGAGTAAGCCTCTTAATTTTTGAGCACTTTCAGGAAAATAATTTTTTTATCATAATTTTCTTATGACTTTAGATATTTTTATGAATTTTTCGTACATACCTTTTAATCATTAAGGAGTATTTTTTGGCTCAAAGGATTTTTAAAAATTTTTATCAGTGACGTCCGTACGAGGTCCGAACTGAATATTTTTGAAGAAAAAAATGGTGCGCCACTGCTTTTTCTAAAAACCAAAATTATTTTTAAAATCCTCATTTAAGTATTTTGGAGCAAATTTGGTCCATAGACTTTTCGCGTAAAAAATAGAAACCAAAATATATTCAATTATTTTTATACCTATTTAAGTATTTTTGTATGAAACTGCTTCCCCTTTTTATCTAATTGAAAACTATTATGAATATTAAACTTTGCGGATTTTGATAGAAAAAATTGTTGGAATTTTTATTCACATAGGTGACAATGTTTTTTAAAAAAATAACATGCCTATTAAAGAATGTTATTATTTTTTGTTATAATTGTTTTTGGTTGTTAATGTAGGTAGGTACCCACATGTAAGTAAAGTATACAATAAAAGTAGGTTATACAAACATCCTTGGATAATTGATCACAGTTGTTATAAACAAGTTGAATAAAACAAAACAAAATGCATGCATAGTAAAAAATATATTACCTAGATATTAACAATTGAGTCGTGAATTTTATTGTAAAAAATGATGATAATTTTAATCACTCCTGTGGAATTTAAAAAACGCAGATTTTAATATGCAGCGTCTAGATATAAAAATTTCAAAATATTTTGATTTACCTTTATTTTATCATAAGAAATTGCAGGTATTTAAATTAATTGAAAATAATAAATGTAATTTAGAAGAATCTTGCTTGCTTTAAGTCACAAATTTTTGCAGTTATGCATTAATATTTTATGTAGATATAAGTAGATGATATGGAAGCCTAAATATAGGTAACTGGTTTAAACATGTAATAGATGTAGTATTTGTGTTAAATTCTGGATGGTTTATACAATTTCAAAAATGATTAAAAATAAAAATGTTGAAACCAAAATATTTGAGGAAATTTTTTGACAATTCTCCCATAAATTCTCCCGACAAATGAAAACATCGTATTCTAGAGATGATGTCGATGTGAGCAAAATCACATTGTACAAATACTTTTTCTTAGTGTAGTAGAAAGTCCATATTTTTTTTTTTTCAAACAATTATCTTTAAACTAGTGATAATAAAAAAACTTTACATATTACTTATTAAATAATTTTCTAATGTTCAATCGGTTACTGAAAATATTATTATTTTTTATTGTGACCATAAGCGTCTCATAATTTTTTATCATTATTTTTAATATTTTTGATCCAAATCACCTGAATAAACATGGAGTGTTTTTATAGGGCTAAATAATAAGATGAAGAGGCAAATAATGTACAACATCAAATGAGATGCATTACAATTGGCGTAGCTTTCGTAATTTGTCAATCCAATTGAAAATGTGAAAGCCTGTCGAACTATTATGAGCATGGGCGTCCATGTACTTAAAAAAAAGTGTAAAATTGCAACCGAAAGATGCAAAAATTGTTTTACTCGTTAA